TTATGAAGTATTTCCTTTTGAGTGCCTGTCCTATTTAATTTAGCATCATATCTTTCAGTTCCACCTATGTTGTTGCAGATGGCAGAATTTCCTTACTCTTTAAGGCTGCATAGCATTCCACTGCCTGTGTACCACGTTTCCCCTGGCCATCCGCCTGCTGATGGATATTGAGGTTGCTTTAGTGTCCTGACCACTGCGAACAGCCCCACAATGAACAGGGAGGGTTCTGCTCTCCTTTCTTTGGGATGTATGCCCTGAGGTGAGACTGCTGGGTATATGATGGTTCTAGTTTTCATTTTTTTTTTTAGGAATACCCATTTGATTTTTCCATAATGCTGTGCCAGTCTACATTCCCACCAACCGTGTGAATTCTCCCTCTCTCCACATCCCCAGCCCAGCACTCAGTATTCACCTGTTGAATAATAGCATCCTGACAGGCAAGAGGTGACATCTCGTGGTGGTTTCCATGAGCAATTGTACTCATCTTTGCTGAGGGCCATTACCAAGTAGGAATGACRCATCAAAATCTCCTTGCCAGCGTACCCCATGCTGCTTAGAGGACATTCGATGGGACATTGCATGTATGCTTTAGTAAGATGACCCTGCTCAAGGTGATCGAGGGTGGATCCAGGTTTGAGGAAGTATCCTGCAGGTTTGAGGAAGTATCCCGGTCCTTGGGTTTAGGGTGTTCCCGGTTTAAGGCAATAGGGGTTTTAGGGAAGTTGGAGGTTGAAGATTATTGCTGCTGGGATTAAGGTGTTCCTGCTGCTTGTTCCCGTTGAGTTCTCGTGAGATTCAAATGGGATTTGGAAAAAGCCTCGTGGAGTAGGTGATTTGGGGGCGGCGGCATATTAGATTTCACCAGAACGTGTTTGTGTGGAGGCTGGTGTGAGTTCGGGAATAAAGAATTGCTGTTTGAATCTACAAGGTGTGTGGTGACTCGTGATTTCAGTGCCCAGCCAAGACTGCGGCACATCTTTACATTTACTATCTCTCTGCAAGTTTAATAAGGGTTATGCTTAAATTTGAGAGGGTATTCTTTTAGATTTTTAAATCTGCATATTAAAAGATCATTTAATCTGAAATAAAATGACATCTTCTCAGAGAAATGACCAACAGGCTAAAGTCTCTTGTTTGTTCTGTTAGTTCTGTTGGTGGAGTCTGGGAAGCCTCTTGGTTTTTAACTTTTTTTTTTTAGTTGTTGATGGGCCTTTATTTTATTTATTTATTTATATGCAGTGCTGAGAACCCAGTGCCTTGCCTCACACATGCTAGGCAAGCACTCTGTCACTGAGCTACAACTCCAGCGCTGGGGCGCCTCTTTCTTGGTGTTGATTTTGGACTCAGGCCTGATGATCCTTCATGTCTGTTCATCTTTATGCTTGAAAATCCCAGTTCTTCCACCTAATCTGTTTTCTATAACCTTATATCCAAAGAGGACTGAGTACAGCAGGCTGGTCATGTCTGTCATCCCAGCTACTCGGGAGGCTGAGGCAGGAGGATGCAAGTTGGAGGCCAGCTTGGCTCACTTAGCATAAACCATGTCTCAAAATTAAAATGGCTGGGGATGTGGCTCAGTGGTGCAGAACCCCTGGGTTCAAACCCCAGCTCCAAAAGCAAGCATGTGTGCACGAGTGTGCACACACACACACACACATGCCATTTGCCGGATAGGACATTAGCTTAAGGTCAAATGGTATTGCCATGGCAGCTCCACGCATGGGCCAGAAGAGCAAGTAAACCACACCCAGGGTATCTCCTGCTGCTTTCTAAGCAATCACCTGACCAACTTCCTTCTGTTTCTTGAATCCACTCACACTGCATTTGGAACTTCCTAGAACTGCTCTGAACTCTCACACTGTGACTTTCTCTGGCTTTGCTTCTTCTGGTTTGACTCACCCTAAATGAAATTTTCAAAATTGTATGCACAAGAGAGGGAGAGACAGAGAGTCCTCTGGCTGCACCATGGCCTCTCCCCTCTGCAACCCACGTGTCATCTCCACGGTGAGGCACCCAGGGGATGCAACCCTGATCCCACCAAGGAGTTGAGAGGCCTTTGGAAAGCAATTAGGGTTAGATAAAGCCTCAGAGTGCAGGACTGGATTCTGGTGGCTTTGTAAGAGGAGAGAGAGAGTCCAGACAGGCACATAATGTGGTGTCCCACATCACCCTGGGACTCCTGCAGAGAGAAGGCATCCCCAGATGCCAGCCACAGCCTTCCACCTCTAGAACCGTGAGCCAAAATCAGTCCCTTTTCTTTTTAACTTGCCCAGCCTGTGGAACTGTGTTACTGCAACAGTAAGGCAGAGAGGAGAGGAGATGGGGGATGGGCAAATGACAAAGCAAATGGGGCAGAGTTGACATTCGGTGAATCTGGGCAAAAGATGTGCAGATGTTCTTTGTATTCATGTAACTCGTCTTTAAATATGAATCTATTTCCAAATACGGACATTTTTACAAAGCTGTCTATACACTCTCAAATTCTTCTCATTAGTTTTTTTAGCGGTGCCTCTAAGGCATCATAATCCATCCACACCATTCAAAATAGCTCTTGCAAAACCACCCATGACTCTCGTGATTTAATCACGGCAAATATTCTCAGTTCTCATAGTGATTGATTCTCAGCAGTAGCAGACGCATTGACCACTAACTTCCTTATTGAACCCATTCCTTAGAATCTTATCTCTCTCCTGCTGTGCTGCTCCTCCTGCTCCTCCTATGTTTCCTGTCCTCCCACACGGAACCACTGAAGTCCCTGGAGGCTTTGTCTTGTGCCCTCTTGATTTCTACATCTTCACTTGTGTTCTCAGAGATTGCTCCTTGCCCAAACTTGCATTAGCATTTGGATATACCTTCAAAGTAGTACTCCAGCCAAAGAGCTTCCAGAGCTACAAATAGACTCCACTTTTTCCTTTGACCATCCGGGTCAAGGTACCTCAAAGACATCTGGAAATCCCACAGACCCCAAAGTGACCTATGGTCCTCCGGGGTCCCCAAATCTACAAACACCTCCACCATCCATTAAAAAGTCAGAAGTGCTGACGGCTCCACCTCCTCCATCCTACCTGTATTCAGAGTTGCCCACCCCGGCGCCTGGCACATCCATCGCTTGTGCCCCTTCACCATCTCTCCAGTCCACAGAACATTTTCAGTACAGTATGCAAGAAATTACGTGAGGTATTCGACCGATGACTGTCAGATGGGCTTTGTGTTAGAGGTCTAGCCCACCACAGGCTCCTGGGAGTTGTCTGCAGCACCTGCAAGGCAGCTGGGCTCTGCAGCTGGGCTCTGCAGCTGGGCTAAGCAGGGGTGTCCGTAGGTCAGCTGTACTCAGTGTGTCTCCACCCTGTGGAATTTTCCACGTGCAGTGGATTCTTTGGGAGGTAACCCTATCATAGCCCAGGGACTCTCTAATAAAATAGAAGAGAGACTCCATCGAAAATTCCATGTCATTGCCAGATCCTCGAAGAATGTTTTTCCCAAATTCTTGTGCGCCCCCCCCCCCGGCCAATTTCTGGTTGTCACTACTAAGTGAATGCAGGTTGATATGTGTCTTCATTTTAAAATATAACATGAGAAAAAGCTACAAGGATATATGTGGGCACTTCACTTCTGCATCACAAGGTGAGCAGCTTCTTTCCTGAATTAGATAATGGGCTTTCACTAAAGGAAAGCGTCCTCTATTTACATGCTGTTTACCACGGAACCACTGCAGGAAAGATCTCCTGCAGGTTTCCTCTGCGTGTTTAACACCATCATTTCCTCCACTGCTCTCTGGGCCATCAGACTCGAGATGATAAACCTAGCCCTGACCTTCAGCATCTACCAATTCCTCTGGTGCAGATACTCTCACCAGGGCTGGGTTCAGATTGCCAGTGTGATGCCACTAAGCAGATTTGGAAAGAGATGCACAGCAAATGCAATTCTGTGGTGTTTCCGCTGCAAGGACACAGAGAATAACCCCAGATGGGTGCAGAGGAAATGGGGAAACAGAAGTTGCAGAGTCTCTAAGGCACAGGTACAGTGATGGTCTCCAGTGATTAACTCTTACTGGCGTCCAATAAATGATCGCCAATACACACTCTACCCTGTGTGGACAATGTTCTGTCATTCAGTACCACCAGGATGAGTTCTAGTGTCAACTGGATGAAGGAGTGGCTGGATAACTGGGAAGGCATTTCAGTCTCTCTCTCTTACTCTCCTGAGCCTCTGGACCTGGACCAAGCCCTGCTACCTGCATCCCAGGGTCTCCAGCGGCAGGTGACCAACCAACCACCTGTTCTGGGGCTAGCTCCATAATCCACTTTCCCTTACCAACCCCTATCTACATGGAGTCAGACACAATCATGTAAAAGTCCCAGACTTTCACACCAAAAAACAGACCGGTGGCTCTGTAAAGGCTGGAGTGGGGCAGTGTCTGCCTTGTCCACGACTGTGTCCCAGAAATTAAAACAGTGCTGTCTGGGGGTTGAGGGGTGGCAGAGCTCAGCGGTAGACAACTCACCAAACAAGCGCAAGACACTGGGTTCCCACCCCAGCACTGGGAAAAAAGAAAGAAAGAAAATGTCTGATTCTCCTGAATAAATAAATGAGGCTCACTCAGCAAATTTACACAATACCCCAAAAGCTAGCCCCATGACTCACACAGGGCAGTGGCTATTTATTTCTCCCATAGAAACATAAATAAGGATTTTTTAATCTTTTTTTTTTAATGTCTTCCCAGCACCTGTCTGGTACATAATAGATGTTCAATAAATATAAATGAAGTATAATGAATTAATATAAAACATAGTACCTGAGCTCAGGCTCAAAATAAATACCAACTTGGGGCAGGAGTGGGTGGGGAGAGTCCTGAGGAGACACCAGCACCAGCAACCCCTGCCCAGCGGGGTGAGGTAGAGCAGCCCAGCTCCGGGCACCAGGGGCCACAAGAAAGGAAGAAGGGCAGGATGTGTCTGTCCAGGTAGGCAGTGCCCAAACCCACATCAGTTGGGTAATGACTAGAAGAATCCATCTGGCACTTTCGTGGTCATGCGGAAAAGTCCCAAAGCTGTGCCACCCTGGGCCAACTGCCAGGCATCCTGCGCCTTGGCCTGCCCATGCAGGTGGACACTCAGGCGGACGCTCAGTCTCTGGCCGGCACTGAGGTGCAGCAAGCCACCCCGGAATCCTCCAGCAGAGTTTCTGGACTCGGAGGAGCAAGGCAGATGCACGGTCAGGGCCAGGGCAGCGGCCCCGACTGGTGGAGGCTGCAGGAGCAGAGTGAGGGAGACCTCGCCCCCGTTCTGGAGGGTGGCCTTGCGCTGCAGCTCCAGTTGCAAGAAGACGTAGTAGGCCCCGTCCTCGGCCATCACCAGCTCCCGTGTGTCCTCACTGTAGTTCAGGCCGGGGGACAGGTACACGCCTTTCAGCCCCGGCTGGCTGTACCAGCTCAAGGTCTCATTTCTCAGCAGCACTGCGGAAGGGAGAGGAGGGGGTCGCTGTGGGTGGGGTGGAAGGTTAGCGCGGGAGGTGGGGCTGGGGGAGGTGGGAAGGGGAGGAATGGAGAAAGGATCACCCAGAGAGGAGGCAGAGATCCAAGAGAAAGGGTCGACTAAGGAGGGGCGGAAATCCAGAGAGACGCTAGGGAATGGGAGAGGCCGTGGAGAGCTGGGGTGCCGAGCTGGGGGTGCTGGACAGCAGGAGCCCGCCAAGAGACAGCGGGGTGCGGGAGCCTGAAGCAGGGGGGGAGGGGAGCAGAGGACGGAATGAGGGGGCCCTAGGAACCAGGGTGGAAGGGAGGGAGGCAGAGGAGGAGGAAGGCAGGTGGGAAAGGGAAGGCTGAGGACGCGAGGAGGCGGAGGGAGAAGGCTCAGGTGGAAGGAAAGTGTCAAGGAGGAGGAGCCGGGTGGGGGGAATCCTGGGAGAGGAGGGCGGGGGAGGAGGTAAAGGAAAAGGGGGACGGGCTCTCTAAAAGAGGAAGGTGAAAGGGGCGAGCACTGGGAGAATTTGGGGAAGGGGAGACCAGAGGATGGGGCAAAGGAGATAGTGTGGTTCAGAGAGAGGAAGCGGCTGCTTTCAGAGTCAGGGGGAGATGGCTTCTCAGGAACGGACGGGGAGTAGGTTCTGACGTCCCAGAGCCAGGCTCAGCCTTGGGGATGAGACGCCCTAGCTGAGAGGGCAGGAGTCCCAAGTGGACCAAGTCTCAAGGGAATTGAGGGGAGGCCAGAGAGAGCAGGGCACAGGAGATAGATGTGGTTCAGAGAGATGAAGCTTTCAGAGTCAACCGGGTGAGAGGGTGTGATGGGCTCTCAGTCTCCCAGGAGGTCCCCTTCTCAGTATCCCAACAGGAGGGGGCCAGGGCCATGGCAGGACAGGACACGACACTCACCATTTGGGGTCAGCAGTTTGGCGAACGTGTCCTGCTCCTGAGAACAGAGAAGATAAAAGTGGATAAAAGTCGTCCCAGTCCCCTTGCGGTACACAAGCCCGGAATCCTGCAGGATTAGGGGTGCAGGAGATTCCCAGGGACCGGGAAGAGGAATGGGGTTCCCTGGAGGTCTTGAGAGGGAGAGTCCCAGAATCCGAGGCTCTCCGGGAGCAAGCAAAGGAAGTGGGGGCCCCCTGTGGTCTGAAGTAAGAAGTGCCCTCCGGGTCCAGGTTGACAAAGATCCGTACTAGTGCCGGGACACAGATGGGGACCTAGGATGAAAGGGGGTGCCCCACCAGTCCTAGATGGAAAAGGGGAGCCCTTGAGGATCCGAGTCGAGGAGGTGCAGGATGACCCAGGGGGCCTCCCGGCAAAGCTGGGTGGAGAAGGGGTTCCCTGGAGAGGGATGGTAGGGTCTCACTCCCCGGCCTGGGGTGCAGAGAGGCGTCTGGGAGGGCGGCATAAGAAGGGGTCCCCAAGGGACGGCTGGGGGCTCCGGGGACCCTGGCCGCTGCGCGTCTCACCTTCGGCAGCGGGTCCCAGAGGTTGGCAGGGACGTGGGGCGGGAGCTGCGGGACTTCAGTGGATGCCCGGCTGGTCGCGGTACCGGGGCTGGGACACGACGAGGCGCAGGCAGCCCACATCTCCCGGGTCACGAGCGCCCAGGCCAAGCCGCCGACCGTCAGGACCGCGAGCGCGGCCACCAGGGCGGGCTGCGGCCGGCAGGTGCGGGCGGGCTGCGCGGGCTGCGCCGGCGGCCACTGGGCCTCGGGGTCCGCGGCGGCGTGGGAGCTGGAGCTCATGGCAGGAGAGTGACAGTCGCCCGCCCGGCGCCGAGCTTTATAGGTTCCGGAAGCCCAGGTTCCGGGGCCGGCCCGCGGGGATCCCGGCGACGCCGCCCGCGCCGCTCCGCCCTGTGACTCGCTGGAACTTTCTCCTCTCCGCGGCTCCCCTTTCTCCCAGCCTCCCCTCTGCCCCTCTGATTCCCCCCCCCCATCTCTCTCTCTCTCTCTCTCTCTCTCTCTCTCTCT